GCAGCAGCACACTGTCATTATACTGCATGCATGCTAATTGGCTTGCCTAGAACAGTGTAAATACTTTATGAACAGATTTTAAATCAAAGCAATGCAACCAGACTTTATAACATATGTTAATTGTATTAGGTTGTATTTGCATCAACATACAGTATAGAGATTTAGGGATGTTGTTTAAACTTTGACGTATCCAAATATGTATTTATTTCTGTTGGCACTGACTCAAACGTTTAATTTCTAAAAGAGAAGTCCCCATTAGCTTTCTTAAGCAGAGCACATTTAATAATATACAATATGTATCTTACTTTAGATTATAAATGCTCAAAAGACACAACCTATCTAATACTCTCTTTTAATTTGGCAAAAGAATATATAAGTAACTGCATATAATATTAATTAAACTAACACAAGATTGTCTTAATCACAATGCCCAAAGCTTTGCAATAGTATATAAACTACATTGAAAAGTAGTAACAGTTAAAACACAGTTATTTATTGTCTCTCTTGTCTGGATGATTTAAAGACTACACATTTTAGTAACATGTCATTTATTTCCAAAAATAATAATAATAATAATAATAATAATAATAATAATAATAGTAAAATGCAAAGTTAGTCCGTTGTGTGGTATGTGCAGTATTCTTGGTTTCTTCTAAGTCCATTTAAGTGGCTGGGAAATTTTTGACACAACAAATAACATAACTAACTATTGAACTATAGCGAATAAAGGCTCTCACATGTAGCACAATAAGACCTGGTACTGTAAAAGATGAGAGGCTGGAGGCTTGACATGCAGCTTGAGAGGTCACATCGTATGGCAGTAAACATCAGAAATAGGTTCAGATGAAAGGCTGAAGACAGCATGCACAGAGCGCTCTCCAGACTTTTCAATCATGTCCTGTGAAACCAAGACTTATGGGATTTTACAGTAGCAGTTAGATGGGTTTCACACAGAAGCTATTACAGATAGGCATGTCCAGAATTGAGTGTTGAAGCGGCAGACATCTGCTCACAGAGGAACGGTTGGCTGTCCTCTTACTGGCAGGGGGGAAAAAGAGAGCCACAGCTACTTCCCGTTGCACGCTGCATTGGCCTGGAAAGTAAAACCCTGCAATATCTGCAAAGAGGAGTGTGCAACAGCGTAAACAGTGTCTCTCTTTATGAATCTACTCTGCACACACATATCTACAACATACTACTCCAGCATTTGGCCTTCACAGCTATAATGGAGCTAAAGTGAAGGAACAAGGCCAGCATTATAGAGCCAAGCACCTCCGCCTATTTATGAGTGTGTGTGTTTTGTATCGTTTAGAGTTCAAACAGGTCTCTCTCTCTGTGTGCGCTGATGAGCTGAGTGAGTGATTATGGAGGTAATGAAAGGCATCATGGCAGTGTGTTAGTGAACGGTAATGACATTACATTACAACAGGGCTCTGGCTTTCATCAAAGGGCAGTAGGTAGAAATAGAAATGAAGACTTGAAGAGTTGAGCTAAAGGCGAAGAAGAGAGAGTGAGAGAGATCGAAGGTCTTCATTAAAAGGGTGTTATGTCACAGAACAGAAGTTCCTCAGGTCTTTAGGGGGCTGGGGTAGATGTCATGTGAAGCAAAAGTCACAGTCAGCCCTCATCCATTATTTGACATGGTCTGATATTATGTTTTACAGTCATTTCACAATGTTCTGCCTCATTGCAGTTCCCATTATCCATTTCCCCAACAAGTGATTGGGATAAATCAGATTTAAGACATGATTAACAAGATTAAAACACATTTTGGCTGCTCAAATAATAGTCCCTGCATTTACGCAAAACAAAATATGGATTTTCAAAGTAAAAATGAGATGTTATCTTCTTCTTTTGAGACATTGCACTCATCTTTGTTCCGATGAAGCCGCCCACTGATCAATAGAAGATAATGGATGTTCATTCAACCTCTATTTATACTCAAGGGTTCATTGAGGGGTGACCCTCTTTCACAATAAGATGAACTCAATTACAAATACAAAGTAAAGAAAAGTAAAACATACATTTAAAAAGCCATTACAACTTTCTGATAAGGAAACATTATTTAATGTTCTAGACATTGTAACCCTGAAAAAGTGCTGAAAAGTATGTATGCATAGTCAGATAATGTTCTCTGGATAAATTATTTATGAGAAAACACTTTTCAGTTTTAATAATTGTTTGGATAAACAGTGGCCTGTGCTGACTGATAAACCCACAGTGATTAAGATGGTTGGGATGTTTGCACAGTGTCTGTTGTCCCATCCCATGTTTGCTAGAAATAATACGAAAATAGGCTATTCAATTCTCGTAGACAATACCAAAGACTGACCATTATCCAAATGTGTCTTTCCCCATCAGATGAAGGTCCTGCTCCTGCCTCCTCTTCATCACAAAGTTTTCTTCCTGTAGAGCCGTCTCCTGAGGCTGCACACTCTGAGCTTCCTGACAGCCTGGACCCAAACCATATCACAAATCCAAGTTCAAAAAGCAACGGTAGTTTGATTGTCAACACAACTACAGAAGAGGAACCAATGATCAACGGTAACTGTAACTCTTTATTTTTGATCCCTTGTTAGTCACTATAAAAACACACAATGTCTGATATGATAGACTGAATTAGATTCTTGACTTGTTAACTCTGTGTTGTGGCAAAGAGAAATGATCTGATGTTGAAATTTGCCAGAAGGGAAGGTTTGTGACACTTAAGAAGAATTTAGTACGAACTCAGCCGCAGGTGGCTTTGCGTTTAGCAGCTATATTTAACAAAGTAAGTCCTTATCTCTTTTTTCCATGTTCAAAAGTGGGCCAAAGTGAGCGTCTGGGTTAAAGTGTTGACAGTCAGCTGGGCCTGGATTTTAAAAACTAGAGAACAGATAATGAAAGAAGGTTTAAAACGTAAACGAGTAGAATTAAGAAGGTACGAGTTGAATAATTAAGGTGCAATCTGTAGTGAGAGCCAACGGATGGTAAAATTACTGAGAGAGAAGTTGTTTGGTGTTGAGGAGAAGAGAGAAGTGATTAATGCTGTGTGACTTTTCACAAGGGTCTGTGTCTGGAGGGGGGAGTATTTCACTTCTACCTTTCTCACCGAAAGGTAGAAGTGAAATACTCCCCCCTCCAGACACACAAACTCTTTATCTCACTCTCTGTCTCACACAAACACACACCGCTGCTGGTTCACGCATCTGACTCATGAACATATTTACAGGCAAGGCACCATTTCAGGGACTATTTTGTGGAAGAGATACAGTTCATATTAGAGTATTGTTAAAATGTTTAGATAGAGATATTAAACTTTTAGTTTTCTGCCTCCACACAATACAATTGAGACGAATGGATTTATATTTGTGGTGCCCGCAGCTATGAACATTTACACTTTAACAAGTGTAAGAGAAAACAGCTCTGCGAACAGCTCTTTGGTGTGTCGAGCAAGCTAACATGTTGATGCTTATCTTAGTTTAGCATGTAAACATCCTAACATATAACGATGTGTTAATCTGTAAGTAAGTACAGTTAAAACATGCAGCAATTGCCAAATATTGGTTTTTATTCATGGTCTTAGTGCCCATACAGAAGAGTACTATTAAAATGTAATCTGTAAATTCTATATTAAGATAACAGAACAGGCAGAATTAGTATTTAAACGTTTTCAGTGCCAAGAAGTTGAGACACAGAACATTTTACAAAATGTATTCAAAATGGTTTTCAAACTAGGATGTGCAATGCACCTACAGCGACATTTAATAATGAAGCCGTACTTTTCAAGCAATTATTTTGTATAGTTCAACAAATGTACCACAGGAAATTCGGAAATGTCATCAGGCTGTGGTTTGCTGTGGTTTTGTCACCGCAGTACTAGAGGAAGTTATGTATTAATTCAGGTTAACTGACTCTTAAAGGTATTACTCAGCAGGCTAGTGATACCTTGGTGATTAGACATACAGTATTTCAGCGTTGTAGAAAAATGTGCCCAGTGGAATCACAATATTCTCATAATAATGTATTTCTATTTGTGCAGATACCAACATCACCTCTTCTTCAGAGGCTGACGTTCTTGAAGGCAATGGTAACCAAACAAATCTGACGACATCTCAGCCTCCAATCGCTCCGTCTGCGAGCCACGCCCCCAAGTCTCACACCCCAACTACCTCCACCTCCACCGGCCCCACACACACAACTCACTCCACCAGTGTCGTCACACCGACCTCCACGCCACCCACAACAAGTCATAGCGCACCTGCAGTCGCTAACTCCGTTACAGCATCAAACCAAACCGTTCCCAGCACTTCTGTCCCAACACCTGAACCACCAAAGCCTGAAGCTTCCACAACTACGATCATCATCTACTCCAGTTCAATGCCCACCACCAGCTCCTCTCAAGAGACCCCCAATTCTGAGTCAACGTCTCGGCAAAACACTCTACAGCCCGACGAACACCCTGAGACCCCCACCAAACCCCAACTTGAGACAACAAGCAACCCACCGAGCAGCCCCACCGCCAAGGCCGAACCCCTAGCCGACTTGCCGTCGCAGCTCATCGTTGGGGGTGATAGTAAGTGCCTCATATCTTCTGTTGTTAGTGCATGAAGTTCTTCTGCCGGGATATTGACAGAGCAAAAGTGTATTGGCTTCACAACAAAGGAGACACTGTTCTTTGTTTTCCAGCAGAAGCCAGTCCTCTACACACACAGACACTAACACAACCCCCGTCGACATCTTCTGCAAGCACTGACACCACCAGGCACTCTACAATTATGGCTCTGTTTGGGAAAGAGACAGAAACAGTCATGGGACTCTGTTTTCTTTCTTTTTCTGTAGCCCTATGTTTGTTTGCTAAAGGATTTTTATATCTACAGTATCTTACCTCCACCTTGAAAGGAATTTTACCAGGAAAATATGGAAAACCTGATCAACTCTACCCAGTCCACTGGACTTTTGGTTACAGTTGAAATCCATATAAAATTCTCTCTGCTTCTCTAACTCTTTGTGGATTTATTAGGCCATGCTTGGCACCTCGCCTCTTTCCACTAGCTAAAGGAACAGGATGCATCCAGTGCTCTGTGGTTGTTGCTACTTTAAAACAGCAAAGTTTACTGAAAAGTCTTCCATAGCAACATCCATACAGGAATAAACACACAAAAACGCAGAGAAAATGCTCAGAAATATGCAAACACTGAGAGACATCAACATAGAAAGGTCAAGAATGATGATGTAAGAGAGTAAACAGCACCCTTAGAGAAAACCTAAACATACTGTAGTGTATGCACATTCAATATAAACTACTGGATTCAAATTCTAAAAATAAATTGTACAATTGTGCCATATAAATAAATTCAATTACTCAACCGAAGTACAGGAAAGCTTAACATCACCATCCTGTGTTTGACATTTCTGTCCTGGGCTGCATGATGAACACTTAAGCTCCACATGCTGCTGTTAAATCTATATTTAGTTCCAGTCACAGCTTTACACAAGCTTCAGGAAGCGAAAATTCTTCTATTTGCACCACGTTAAATCCAATCCATCTTAAACGGTGCATTTCCGGGACATTTATTAGAGCTACAGCATGAACGTGTCCGTCTCAAGTATCTCTTCTGTTTTCTACTTCCAGCAACGGTTGTCCGTGACTCTCCCACATTAGACCCCCTCCTGGCTGGCCTGGTGTCAGCCTTCATCATCACTGCAGTCATCATCACACTGCTCCTCTTCCTCAAACTGCGCCGGAGAGACAACAGACCAGAGTTTCGCAGGCTGCAGGACTTACCTATGGTAAGAGTTTATGACATCCACTTTCAGTCCTGTCCCATTGAAATATCAACTTCTTCAGATAATGTCCAGCACTGAGTTACTTTACTTACTAGTTCTAGTAGTATATCAAAGTTGAAACTAATGTCTTTCTAATGTTTATTGAATAATTTACTTTAATAATTTAAAGCTATTTTAATAATAGCTGTGAATACTCAGTTGTGTTATTCCATTTCCATTTGTGCAGGACGATATGATGGAGGACACACCCTTGTCCATGTACAGCTACTGATGGATGCATGACAAAAATAAATGCTAGCTCCCAAATACTCTCCTTGAAGCCAGGCTCACGCCACAGCTGTGCAGAACCTGGCAATTCTTCAGCAAAAACACAAAGCATCCTGGGTAGGTGTGAGGAAACCTCTGGATGCTTTCATTTATCTTGATCCCTGACATTAAGGAAAGGACATGATTAAAGCTGCAATGGACAATGAAGAAATCGCCCATGTTGGGGTCCTTTTGGCAAAACGTCATGTTGGTCCCAATAATTCTAAATTAGGCCTCTGATGAATAATGTATGCTTAACATTTTTCCGCCCCTCATTCGGGACGGGGAGATGGTATAATATATTTTGATTTCCCTAGAGTTGAAAGGGTGTAAAGCAGGAGGCAAAATCATCAGTTGCATTCATCATTTGGACGGTTCACACCTGGACGGATTCAGCCTGTCCTGCCAGACTCTCACCGGAGGGTACTGGTCTAATTTCCCTGTTATAAGTTAGCGGAAAGTCTGGCAGGCGTACGGAGAAGCCTGGGAAAAGAAATGAACATAACAAATGGCCTGATTATAGTGTTAAAAAAAATTGCACTTTACTTTTTCAGGAGTGGAAAAAATGAGAAATGTGTTTGTGTATGGGAAAGATTGAGCTTGTGTATGTGTGTGTATGTGTGTGAGTCTGAGGGGCATATGTGTATTTTTGAAGGCGTTGTGGGGGATATTTAAGTGTTTTTTTCTTTTGTTCATTTTCAATGTTTAAGATCCTGCTGCCTTTTAGCCTGATTTTGATATGTGCAGTGTGAGTTTTTGTTTCTTTCCCGGAGTCTTGTGTCCAGGGGAGAGTGCCTTACACATCTTATGAACAGCTCTGAATGCAAACTGTATTTATATTCAACCCAACTAACGTCCACATTTATCAGTCATTCCCAGGGCTTTTTGTGATTCCCATTCACACGCACATACAGTGCCAGGTTGCTGCTCTGACTTGCCTGTGATTGAACACTCGCCTTGAGCAGGTTCCCCATCAGGCCCTCATTCATACAGTGTCAGCTGCAGACTGAAATGGGCCCGTGGCTTACCACACAATGTTGGCATTGTCCTGTACTACTGATGATTGCATCATGCAAAGACAACTTCATGAAACTCTTCATGCTGTTTCAGCGGTTCTTCAGCCGCAGACCTGAAAGCACCTTGTTGTCGCAGTAGGCAATTTCACAAATATTCCATTAATTATAAAATAATGTAACAGCCTAATTGTATGTACTTTGTGTAAGTGCAGGAAAATGGGAGTGGAAATTAGAGACAGTCAATAGAAATAAATTGGAGCTAAAATTTGCTTCCTCGATTTAAGTTTGGAGCCCTGAATAACTACAGATGGATGACAAAATAAAGGGAGAGAAATTAACATAAAATGTGGGGTGTTCATAAGTGCTCAAATGCATGTCATAGATCATTGACTCAAGGAGGGATGAACTCTTGAAAGAAATATATTCTGTCGTTTATTTTTTTGAAACTCTTATCACCCCTCTGTGTACATCCGATTCTAGATGATACACTCTATATTTCTGATACTTGTCGAACGTGTGTAAGTATCCAGAGAGAAGGCTTTTCGCTGCCAGATGTTGATTTTGAGCTGTTTGTGTTTTATGATTAAAAAGATTTTGAAACCCTCCCATGCTTTTCAGATCTCAATTATTAACAGTTTGTTATTAAGTGCTCTCTGACTGCAGCACCAACAAAACAAAAACTGAACAGTGATCTACAGAAGCAACCACAACTTTTACACAGACTTTTATTGTTTGAGACAGAAACACAAAACATTTCCATACAGACATTCAATTAATGAATACGAGCACTGCTTTACTGCAGCACCAGTACACAATACTTGGCAAATGCATTACAACTGCAGTAGAATGGTCTGATTCATCAGCCAGTATCTGGCCACAACAACACATAAACAAGTATTTTCTTCATTAAATGTTTCTTTAACCACAATCTTAAAAGGAGTGTCTTCGAAAAGGATTGTTAAAATACTGTTACGTACCGCTCTGTGCCGGTTTCTGTTTCCTGGAAGGTCTATTATTGCTTAATAATGACTAGTGAGATGTCTTGGTAGATGAGCTGGATAGGGTCACTGTCTATAAATAATCACTTTCACAGTCCCAGCCTCCAAATCCACACCCCACTGAACATCTAACCTGCCTATTGCCCCCCATGGCTCTGCTCTATGCTCCGGGATCTTGGTGGGGGGTGTCTGAATACTGAAATATTTAACAGCTTGACACCAAGCCTGGCACAGTGTGACTCATGTCGGGCATAAAGGGACTTTGGACTGTTTTAACTGGGCTGTGGGTATTCAAATACGTGTTGGTGCCTCAATAATGTTTATAGATTTTTGATTCCTCTTTGTCTTCACTTCACCTGCATTACCAGGAATCAAAACCCCATCCCTCATCAGGTTTCTCCTGGATGGAAGAGTGCATTATCTCAGGAAGAAAAAAGTCCATTAAAAATCCATTACTCTGCTACACTGAAGGGTGTAGCTTACATTTAGTACAAAAACAACAGGACTTTAAAGCTGACTGTGAATCTTGATACATTACTGTACATCAGTTAGTGTCAAAGTGCATTGTTGTCACAAGTTAAAGTTATTTATGATATAACAAATGGATTAATAAAAAATGACCAACTTGAGGAAGTATAATTATACTGTGGTCTCTGTTTTTGCTACTCAAATGCAGATTTTCTAATGGATGCCACTGTAATTATGGTAAGAGAGAAATGTCCTGCAGACCCAAACTTCACCAAAACCGTGCCTATCCTGAACAATCTGTAATCAGGAGAGCCCGAAATATAACTATTTTAGAATATTCTGACTGAAAACAAACCTTGTGGTTTAGCCAACCAATTGCAGCGCTCGGTTCTCTCCTTGACTCTGGCAAGACCCATAATTTATCTCCAGTGACGCGCGGCGTGGGTGCAGCGGGTGTGGCAACATTGAAAGTTTCATATCCTAAGGGGAATGACTGATTTCAAAACTGTGGGCAAACGGTTTACTCAGTCAGCCTTACAGTAGGAAAGAAAGCTGAATACAATAAATGCGACTGTTCAGGCACAAAGATATCCACCAGCATGAAAACTGTTTCTCTCACAAAGAATCACAGCTGCCAGCCTCTTCAGTGTGTTCCCAGCATCCAACTAGTCTGAGCATGCTTGAGCTAAAGGGGATTAACTAACTAACTTGATGGCGGGAAAACAATGCTAAAGCTTTGTGTGGTTTGTTTCAGAACGCTGTGGTAGAAGGAGCCTGGGTGTGCCACAGGGGACAGGAGAGTTTAACGAATACAGTATATTAGAGGGAAAAAAAGTCCCTTAAAACTTCTGGTATTCTCACAAATAACTGTTTAAAATATAATTAGAGAATTCCCCTTATTAATAGAAAGTCTCCACATTAGAATAAACAATGCATTACTTATATATAGGCAGGTCTATAGAAGGTATAAAATTAACTTTTCGGTGTTAAAATGTCTAAAAACGACGAGCCCTCTTTTTATTCTGTTTAGTCGTGTACCTATATAATTCAAATTGTTTCCTAAAATGTTGAAAATAACAAGAGAAATCTTCCATTGTAATAAAGGTAACGGCATTTAATAAAGTCTCCTGTATTGGCGTTGTATCACCATTTTGCAAAATCAGCGTTGTAGCAACCAGATGGTGTCATAAATAGTATATTTTACTTGCACTCAATCGCAGATGAATTTAATACCTTCATATTTATATAGGATGAATGCTTTTAGTCATTGGACATCTTGATCTTAAGTTATCCGAGGGCTTAACTAAACAAACATTCATAGCGATTAAATTAAATGTATAATAATGACGCTTGAAGCCCCTCTAGTATGTCTATCTATAGTCTGCCTTAGAGCATCGGAGATACAATGATTTTAACGTGAAACTGATGTGTGTTCTTACAAGTTTACACCACCTGGTCTATTTGCTTTGTCAAGTCATCCTAATTATGAGAAGCTGTCTGCAAGGATGGTGAAGACTCCCATGATCCTAAGTTACGTAACTACACCACCAAACTCCGTGTTTGTTTGGATTGAGAGACCCACAACAGCAGAAAATTACATATTGTGTGTTTAAGCAATAACACTAAATAGGATGACTTAATTACTTGTTATTATTTGTGTGTGCCTCTGTTTGATGCCAAGTCTGCTGTTTGCTGTTCTTTGTTTCCTTACCCTTGAGACCACAAAGGAAATGAGCCATATGGTGGTTTCTGTTACCCTGAATACTTCTACATTTTTAGTTTTGGGTTTCAGAATAGAGGTTAAAACTCCCTATTGTACTGGTGGTATCAATTTAAAAGAAATAACTCATATCAGGTAGTGTACTGGAGAGCCAGAAAAAGTGTTCATGTTGCTGAGTCCTTCCCAATTCAAATAACAGAACAGTCACTTTATAAAGAGGTCAGAGGTCAGCAAGACTGAGGTCTGATTCTAAATCTGGATGTACGTCTTCGTCAAGGAGATCATCGCCATCGTCGTCCTCGAGATCTGATCCGGGGCCAGCAAAGTCGCTCCGTGTGGACTGAACGCTCAGGCGCACCCGCGGCTCCTGATGAAGAGCTGCCAGAGATGAAGAGTGGAGAAGGAGCAGTTACTTTGTGTGTGTGACTGACTGAGTGCCTCTTGTGGGATTAAGGCTGGAAGACATTCAAATGTTTTCTCATAACAAGTGTGTGCCAGTACGAGTGTGTTTCTGTGTGCGTGCGTGTGTGTGTGTTTCTGTGTGTGTGTGTGTGTGTGTGTATACAATTGTCAAATTAGCCGGGCTCCATAGACCCAAATCACTCTGGGAAACATTTAGAGCAGAGATAGTAATCTCTTCCGGGAACATTGACCCTCTGTTACAGTAAGTCTCAGGGGGAACAGTGCACACGCTCACACACACACACAAACACACACAAGGTACCAGATTTCCCAAGAAATTACGAGCTATGCAGAAACTGTGGGAGAGGAAATGAGAGCCTTACTGCTTCATCTGCTCATAGAAACACACTGGGTCTACACTCTGGATCACAATGGTGCTGCACATCTAGATCCATTTACTCAATTCTGTTATATCACTCATTTTGAAATGTTCTTTCTTTTTCTGTTTTCATCCCGAGATATCCCCTTTTGATTTATTTAAAGAAAGAGTTTGTCATTTTGTGAAATAAGCTTATAGACATTCTTGCTGTGAGGAAGAAGAGAAGAAACAGCCTTATCTTAATTCAGCTTAAACACTTGAAACAGTGGGAAACAGCTAGCTCTGTCCATAGGTAACAACATCCACCTACCAGCACCTCTGAACTCAATAATTAACCTATTTCCTTTATCATTTGCCTAATTTACACATAAACTGCGTAAAGGGTAAGGGTAAAAACAACCCGGCAGTTTGACAGACAGCTGTGTGGAGGACTTATTCTTGGATGGCATCTGAGACTTCCAGGATTCCTGTCGTCACTCTGAGGCAGCGAGGCAATTAGCAGCGACTCCAGAGCAGATGTGAGAGTAATATCGATCCTCTCATCTGACTCACGGTAAGAGACGAATACGAATTTTTCCCCAACATGTCTAAGTGCTCAAACTATCTCTAGTCTGAAATGGCAAACAGCCGAGTGCTGAGTTAGATCGCCTGGGATAAATCAGAGTGAAGGTTAAGCCAGATGTGTGGGGGAGGGGAAGGAGGGGGAACTACATGTCCCATCTTGCTTGAACTGCCATCACTCTCCGTCCATCTGGTGCCCTGCACAACATTCTCTCTTGGTTGGAGCGAGTGATCGTATTGTCACGACATGTTTGAGTTAGTGGGCCGAATACGAATAATGGAAACACCTGGAGTTGATGAGTCAGCACCAGAGGTGGGAAGTAGAGGAGTACAAATACTTTGTTACTGTACTTAAGTACATTTTTCTGGTATCAGTACTTTACTCGACGACGGCTTTTTACTTTTACTTCTTACATTTTTAACACAAATACCTGTACTTTGTACTTCTTACATTTTCAAACAGGCTCGTTACTTTAGTTTGAATGTGTGTTACTGTTTGGTGGCGTGATCATTATTATTTAGAGTCATTGCGTGCCTATTGATTTGAACACGATCCGTGTATGCATCATTTCCTGGTCTTCTCTAAAGAAGAGGGACCAATGAAAACTTTGTCATGTTGCCGTTGTTCAGCATCGAAACATTCATTAGCTAACAATGACATTATTGTTCTATTAATATAAAGGGAGGTCAGGTACTCTTTAAAACAGCTGGTAGTTATGGGTACTTTTTACTTAAGTACATTTCAAAGCCCATACTTCTTTACTTTTACTTGAGTAAAGAAGTTTAGTCAGTACTTCTATTTTTACCAGAATATTTTAAACACGAGTATCTGTACTTTTATTTTATTTTATTTTATTTTACCTTTATTTAATCAGGATAGG